CGTCTTGAATGCCTTCGAGACCTAGACTGTCATCCTGGTAAAATCATGTACGAAGTCATGGGTTGAACGATTCAGGCGTCTTAGGCCAGCCTCACAGGCCTCCAAGACCGCCAACGAGGCAAGAAAAAGAGTGCCTCAGCACGGCCCTTCGGAGCCATCTTGGGGCATGTGGGAGGTGTGCACCCCCAGCCACGCTCCCAGGGCCTCGAGACAGGTCGTGCGTCACACCATTGGAACGCGCAGGCGCCCGAGACTGCTGGTGAGTTCGAGGTCTGGGGCCCTTCAAGAGTTGGAACCCGGCTTGGCTCCAATTGGAGTCTTCTGCCCCAGATAATTGCAAAACGATGCTAGGCACTGCTCGGCGTTGCTCTATGTTGCTTGGCATTGCTTGGCGTTGCTCGGCGTTGCCTGTTATTGCTCAGCATTGGTCTGTGTTGCTTGGCATGGGCTTTTGCCGAGCAGGACACAAATGAACCAAGACAACGGAACCCGAGGAAGGCAGCAGGGAACCAAGACCAAGGAACCCAGGCATACCAGGCGTCGCCTCGGAGTTGTGGCGTCGCACCCTCCGGTGTCTTCCATAGAACAAGTGGGAAGCCGTTCGGCAAACCTTGCCAGAGGAAATCAGAGACCCAATGCAGGGCACAGGCACTTGGGACACCCCACTCAGTCGGTGCCTCGCGGCAAAGCCTTGGATTCGTGCTGGTTCGTGCACCGTTTCTTCCACGCATTCTGTCCGCCTCTACCCGTTCCGTGTTATCAGCAGCGTCATGCACGACTACGTTTGCGACGCGATGCATTGCTGCGGCTCCACGCGCCCTGCCCAGAGGGCACGGGCGCACGTGCCCTCACCGTGTGGCCAGCGCCGCCGGCCGCTCGCCCGCTCGCCCGCTCGCCCCCTCCTCATCCTCGGACTCTGAGCGGACTGGGGCCTGTTCAGCATCGCCATGCCTCTGGGCTTGGGGCCGCCGCTGTACAGAGGAGGAGAAGGCACCGATGCCGCTGCCGTGAACTTCGCCGCCGAAGACGTAACCCTCGCTCCAGGTCCTCTGGAGCCGTAGAAGCTCCAGAGGCCGTTCGCCGTCGTCGCCCGTCGCCGTCGCCGTCCGTTGTCGTCAGTCGTCGTCGCCGCCGCCGTCGTCGACCGTTGTCGTTGGGAGGAGGAAGAGGAGGAGGAGGAGGAGGAGGAGGAGGAGGAGGAGGAGGAGGAGGAGGAGGAGGAGGAGGAGGAGGAGGAGGAGGATTTTTTTTCGAGGTCAACCCTCCATCCAGCCAAGGTGACGACCGCGGCGTGGCTTGCGCAACGGCGGGGCCCACGCAAGCCCTAAATACGGCACAACGTGTCAAGGTCAACAGTGACACCAGCTTTTTTAGGATGGAGCCCACGTTCCAGCTTCGTCCACGGATTGCTGTGGCACACTTTCTTGTTTGGCTTGCAAGGCGTAGCCAAATTAGCCAGCCTGGCGCCTGACGTCGTGTAGTTACAGCGCTGGCAGACGCACAAGAAAGAGCCGTCGGAGCAGTCCATGACCACACACCGGTGCCCGAGTTCACGGAGGGCCGCTGGCTGCACCCGCAAAGCCAGGGAGCAGGATCCCCCTGCTGGCAAACGCATCGAGTTCCCCCTCCTCCCTCTCAAGCAAACTATGCCCTGCCAAACATTGCCCACCTAGAGCCACCTGTGGGGGGTGGTCGGCGTCTGCGAAGGCGCAGGCGGTGCAGAAATACGCTGGACGTCTGGCCCCATGTCCAGACGAGGCCAGAGTGGCAACAGCTTGGCAGCAAGGCGCCCTACCGCCCTGGCCACCGCCAGATGCCTGTCCAGCTCATCAGCTTCAGACGGCAGAGGCGCGGGATGCAAAGAAACCGCTTGCTTGGCCGACACGTCGGCCCACTCATTGCCTTGCCTCAGATAGCGGTCCCAGTCGTCAGTGGCCTGATCCACGTCGAGATGGGCTCGAACCTTGATTACGCGAATCTTAGGCCAGTGTTCTCTGACAAACTGAGCGATGCCAGAAAGCATGCGCTTCGCCGAAGCTGGTTCAGGCCAAGGCAATGCCGCAAAATCCACGCAGTTTTGGCAGTCAGAAAAAAACATCACACGGACCTGTGGACCATTGGATCGACACAGACAGAGCGTGGAACTCGGCCGCCTGCGGGGTCTGGGGGCACGGTGTCCACACCGGCCCCCGAACACGAACAATCTCACGACCTGAACGCCTGCACACCAAGGTGAAGGTCCAACCAGCGCGGTTGAGTTCTGGAACGAGGACTCGAGAGCACGACCCATCGATAAACATGTCACCTCCGAAAGTCTGGTCGAGGTCCTGGGGGCTGCCCTTCACCCACTCCACCTGAATGCCGCCATCGGTCAAAGGCTTTGGAAATAGATCCCCAGGGTGAGGAAATACACCCCAAACCGCCAAGGCATCATCACTTTAGGCAGCCAACTGTTGAACACGTGGCTCGACGAGTTCATCCCGCTCTTTGTGTACAGCAGGGCACTCCCACAAACGATGCCTTAGTGTGTCCACCGCGTCTCCACACAGCGGGCAGCTGGTTGAATCCAGCTGGTAACCTAAGCTGGCAGCACGGTGGCGGGTGTAAATCGCTTGGCAACAAAAAGATATCGAATGCACCTCTTTTGGAACAGGGTGTACTTAGTGGAAGAGAGATAACTAAGGACCCCGTCGCAGCAAGCACGAGAATTCATGTTGAGCTTGGCTCCAAAGTCCCACTCCAAAGACCTCAAACCAGCTTTCTTCAGCAAGCTTTTCAAGAGACGGGGGGAGTATTCAGTGAGACGGATCGTGTAGCCAGCATTGGTAACCATCATTCCGAAGCTGGTCATATCCACGAGATGCGTTCCAGAGACTTCCAGAGGGTCCCCACAGGGCCAGCCACACTCCGCCACACAGGCGATTCCTGGGAAAAAAACGCCAGCCCAAGCAGCCCTCAATTCGGGCAACGGGATCGAATACGAATACAAACGATAGTGCGAAGTCCAAATTTCATTCGACCATCTCACGATCGGGGCGACCGCAGCGTACCAAGTAGGGTCCTGGTGGGCCAGGAGCAAAGCCGTAAGACTCCTACCAGCCGCCGATGGCGGGAGCACCCTGGCCGCCTGGCGTCGATGCCGAAGCAGCTCGAAGTCCGTGACCCCGTGAACCTCGGACCCAAACAAAGACGAAGCAAGAGCCCCCGTGGCATACACGTTTCGCGCAACCTTCCCGCCAACCATCGGCCTAAGTTTAGCCAGTCGTGTGGTGAAAGCCGCAGCTTTGATGTCACGAGCCTTCTGTTTACTCGACCTCCCCTTGCAACGGCGTGGCCGGCCAGCGCAATCGTCCACTCCAAGGTTGTGAGCGGAGTTGACATCAGGCCCCACGACGCCACCTGAACCGTTCCCCGAGGTCACGTGCCAAAGTACGAGAGGAACAAATAATGGATTGCTTTCCAACATCCGTGCTAACCACCGCCCCCACATCCTCCTCCAAAACTCTGCACCGGAGCTTAGCGGCAGGAGGCACGTGCCGAACGATGTAGGCCCTGACCCAGTGCCGGACAGCCCCGAATCGTCGATATATAGAGCTTAAAGTGGATCTGCACCGGCAGCGAGATCGCGTCGAGCGCCTGAATAGAATAGACACTGATGAGGGTGGTCGCAAAAGTGCACCCAGCAACGATCCCCCTCCAAGCCCAGAAGGGCACATCAACGAACCCAGAAAGGACGAAAACATGAGCCTGGAGGTACATCGACACCGCCAGCCTAGCGATCCCCATGGGGAACCCGACCTGACGACAACGGTACAAAAGCCTGCGGAGATCAATCGTCCCATATTACTTGTAGAGATCGAGTAGAAGAGTCGCCGCTTCATCACCGACTGCGGTCGAAGACTCAGCCCTGACGGCCTGCCTCCAAACCACATCCTGGGCACCCTCGAAAGGACCCGCGGCGAAGTATTCACGAGCGTGTGAGAATTCCGAACTCTGAGCAATGGGCCTCCTAACCTTACCATAGGCTCGATACAAAAACACAAAAATTGCCTATCGGCCTGAAGCCCGAAGTCGCCTTGGGGATCAAAGACAGCAAGGTGACCGCAATCTGGCACGTGATGAGGGCAGACCGTTCCATCACAGAGAACATCGAAACCACAACCCGCAACGAGCTATCACTAAGCATGGCAAACTGGCGCATATGAAACCCATCAACGGACACAGAAGTGTTGTCCTTAAACTTCTGGGAAAATTCCCTGAGAGCCTCAATCGGCACAGGGGGCAAATCAGGGTCGACCTCCCCGAGTTCAAACCACGGATCCAAGCCGGCATCCCCCCAGAGTTTGGAGAATTTCTTGGATTCCGTCGTCAGGAGGGAACAGGGGATCCGCCACCACCACCCCATCAAGGGAGAGAGTCGAAGAAGGTTGCCATGGGGTCGCACCTTTCGACACCGTGTGGACACGACGAGCACCACGCTTCGCCTTGTACAATAACCATTCCCTCCACTCTTGATGGGCCGCCTGACGGGCGTCAGCCTCCACGTCGCACAATGCCGAACAGAAGCACCCATGAAGATGAGCAGACAAATCTTAACAAGGTCCTTCGGGCGGCTCGTACAAGGGCAACTCCTGCACGAAGTGGAGAAGAGCCTGGAACTACTGTTCTAAATGTGCTAGGTTCGAGATCATCTGAGGCGATGGCTCACCCAAACGGCCGAGCACCTCCCTCGGGCCCGCCTCGTTCTGCGCGTCCCAGTACGCGAGCACTGAGGCGAGCAGTGCTCCTGGCCATCTGCCCGAGAAGGGGTGTTGATGGCAGGAGGGAGGAGGGAGGAGGGAGGAGGGAGGAGGGAGGGAGCGAAGACGAGGCAGAGAAGAAGAAGGGGCAGGTGGAGGAGGAACATAAGAAGGAGGGAGGAGGAGGGAGGAGGGAGGAGGGGGGAGGGGGGAGGGAGGAGGGAGGAGGGAGGAGGGAGGAGGGGACCCCCCCTCCGCCAGGCAGGCCTGCGGCGCCCCCGCCGCCGGGCCCGGGCCTCCCGCGACGCCTCCCGCGGCGCCCCCGGCGCCGCAGCCCGCGGCGCCTCCCGCGGCCGCGCCGCAGCTGCAGGTGGCCCAGGCGGCAGCCTCGGGCGAGCCCTGCGCCTGCCGATGGTCGTACAGTGCCGTTTTTTTAATGCATGCTCCGCGTGCCGATCATGTATTACAAATGCAAGGATTCAGTATTAAAAACAAGACTGAGTTCACGCATCAATTTATGCATATATTAATCATGTATTCAACATCCTATATTTTTCAACATCCCATGTATTAAAAACTGCCCTGTAGAAGGTCGGAAGCTGGGCGAGGGCTGCTAAAGCCGTGGCTGCCAGAACGGCCCTCCCGGAAAAAAAAATATACACAGCTTCCCGGAGTGGGGCGCGGCACACGAGACAGTCCACGGGCTTCTTCCCGGAAGGACGAGGACAACTTCCCGGAGGTCGACTTTAGCAGCCACGGATTTAGCAGCCCTTGCCCGGCTTCCGAGAGGGATCGCCGAGCGCATTCCACCACTCGCAAGGTGCCTCGTCGCAGAAGTCCGAAGAACACATGCCTGCTGGGATGCCATCTTTCGTGGACCCCCCGCGGGGGATCCAGGCCATTTGCGAGCAGTCACTCTGCGAGCAGTGGAATGCGCTCGTCGACAGGAGAAGGGGCCATAGGCATGCCGTCGGCCCCGAGTTGTAGGGGTCGACCCTGCCAGAGCAAGGGCAGCTCGCGGCCCACGCTGCCTGCGTTCCTACGGCGCTGTGGCCCCCGGAAGGGTCTCGTGTGCTCCTTGGCCCTGGAAACGACAGGGCCGTTTTTTTACCGGATCCGTTTTGCCGTTTTTTGTTGCCGTTTTTTGTTCCGACGCCGTTTGTTTACCGGTTCCGTCGCCGTTTTTTGACCGACGGCCCTGCCGTTTCCAGGGCCCACAAAGCTCCTCTCCACTCAAGCCCGACTGTAAGCTGTTGGCACTTCGAGCGGAGCGCCAGGGGAGGGGGTCCAGCCTAGATCCCAGAAATCCGCGCGGAGCGCCAACAGTTTATGTTTCTTTATGCCGTTCGTCTTCTTCTTCTTCTTCTTCTAGATGGGGCTCCTCTTTTGGGGGGGATCGGGCGGAGTCAAGTTCAATTTCCTCTTTTCTCTGCCTGGGCATGAAGGAGTTGTATCAGTTTTCTCTTTTCCGTTTCTTCTGCCACGATTGCTTGGAGATTCCCCCCGAACGGGGCAGTGGGCTTTCCCAGCGGTTTTTCCTCGGCGTGCTCTCGCCTCAGGCAGTCTGAGCCCCAAGAGCCCACGAGTGAGCAAAAGCCGAGGATCGAAGACGGAGTTTTTCAGAAGGGAAAGAAGCGCACAAACACAATTACCCCTCGATTCCCCAGACAATATATGAAACATGGGAAGTAGGGGGGAAGACAAAAACCCATAGAATATGTGAAAATATGGGGAATCATTTGATTTGTGTGTATTTATTTGTGTGTCCCATGGCCACTTCAGTTTTGTCGGGCTTCGAGTTTTGTATCCTAGTTTGATTGTTTGTTGTTGCGCTCTCTGGGAAGTCGTCGCCGTCACAGCTGGGCCCACCTCGGCTGCTCGTTCGAGACGAACCCTGGGCAGGTCCCCGGACCGATCTTCGAGGCAGGGTCGTGGACCGAGCATACGTGATCCTCGAGGTTTGAACGTTTTTTGCCCCCAGTCGAGTTTGAGTAAATGAGTCTCTCTCGCCTTCGAGGATCATCCTCGACCTTACTTGATTCTGGAGGAGGATGATCTTCGACCCTCCTCGAGCATGGTCCTCCAGATTCGAGGCCCGATTTTGTTACCAGGCGCCTACAGTGGAGGCCAGTCCACAAGAAACCTTCCCCAAGAAGCCCAACCCTGAGACCTCAGGGCGTCCACCGCTGTGTGGGGGGCACGCCACACTTCCCACAGCAAGACTACCGAAACCCAAGACACCCAGGGCACCCTGGAGGCGAGCGGGGCGTCTCTTGGCATGGCCTTGCTCGGTACAGTGCCGTTTTTCATACATGCTCCGCGTGCGGATCATCATGTATGAAACATGCAGGGATTCAGTATTAAAAAATACAACGAGGAGTTCATGCATACATTGATTCGTACATTGATAATGTCTGAAACATCCGATATGTTTAGAAATCCTGTGTATCAAAAACTGCCCTGTGGTAGACCTCCCCTGAGGGAAAACGGCCTGGGACCGAAACCGACGGACCTGGACACGCAGAAATGACGGCCGTGACGCCCTCTCGCGAAACGAGAACGGCCAATGCACAGATCGACGTGTCAGGGTAGGCGGTCTATCAACCTCCGAGCAGCGGCGGGCAGGACGGGGGAAGTCGAGGCGGAAGGGGCCCTGGGACACACACACACACACACACACAAATCAATAGACACAAATAACTGGATCCCCCATAGTTTGTCTCATATGTTCTGGGGTGTTCGTCTTCCCCCCCCCGACTTCCCACGTTTTCCCTAGATGTTCCTGGGGATCGACGATCCATTGTGTCTGTGTGTGTTTTTGTTTGCCTCCAGAGGCGGACCACGGGGAGGGAGAGGAGGATGGATGGAGGACGGCGAGAAGGTCTGGCTCAAGGAGGGCGATTTCGACGGCTGCCAGGGCGCCTCGGGTGGTGCTGGAGTGCTCCAGGCCGGGCTCGAGGGGCCTCGAGTCCAGCGAACCCAGCCCTGTCCCACGAACCCTTCTGGCAGCCTCCGAGATCGGGGATGGGCAGAACCCCCTCTCGCAGAGCGTGGCTTCGTGAGCACGACCTCGGGCCCAGACCTGGCGGGCGCAGGCCTGGAGAAGGACGGCCGCGGCGCCCTCTCGAGAACCGAAAACCCTCCTCCTCCTCCTCCTCCTCCTCCTCCTCCTCCTCCTACCGCTATGTGTTCCTATATGTTCCTGTATGGTGTGTGGTTTTCCCTATATGTTCCTTGGGATCGACGATCCTACCCTGACACGTCGGTATGGAGGTCTCCGCGTGCCTCCGGGCCGCCTCCGCGGGCCCCCCCTCTGGGGGACTCCTGCGCACTGCCGGGAGACCGGCAGGCCTCGGGGGAGACCTCCGCGCGCCGTGCCCACAGCCTGCGGCGGCGAGCCGCGCTCCCCCGGAGGCCCAGAAACGGGGGGAGGAGGAGGAGGAGGAGGAGGAGGAGGAGGAGGAGGAGGAGGAGGAGGAGGAGGAGGAGGAGGAGGAGGAGGAGGAGGAGGAGGAGGAGGAGAGAGGATGGGGAGGAGGAGGAGGAGGGTGAGGAGGAGGAGGAGGGTGAGGAGGAGGAGGAGGAGGAGGAGGAGGAGGAGGAGGAGGAGGAGGAGGGTGAGGAGGGGAAGGATAATGAGGGGCAGATTGTGAAGATCATGAGGGCAAGAATCTTGAGGAGGGGACTCTTGAGGATCATGAGGAGGGTAATGAGGATGGTATGAAGGAGGAAGAGGAGGATGGCGTCCATTTCCCTGGAGATTCCACGTTGCGAACCATCCACAACGTAGGGAACGGAGAATGACGGAAGTTCTCGACCTGATCATTCTGCAGCACGTTTCGACCAGGACCCATCCGCGAGGGACGCCCCGGGGCCCAATCTCGAGGCAGAAACGCCCAAAGTTGTGACGATTCGCTGCGCCACCATCTCAAGCCACCCTCACCTGTTTCCCTCGTCGTTCTCGTCATCCTACTCTGCCTCCATCTAGGCCTCCCAGATGGGGTCCGAGCAGATGGAGTCGGAGGATCGCGCCGCACCGCCGCCGCATCGGCGACGCGGCTCGATGCGGAGCCCGATTTTCGCCACGCCGACGCCGCGGATGCATCGCCGACGTCGCCAGTGCATGTCAAGAGGGAACAAAACAAACACAGACACAATTAATCGCCGATCCCCAGGAAAATATGGGAAAACATGGGAAGTGGGGGGGAAGACAAACACCCAGAACATATCGGAAACTATGGGGAATCTTTTTATTTGTGTGTATTGTATTTATTTGCGTGTTCTGGGGCCCCTTTCGCATCGGCGATGCATCGCCGAGGTATCGGCGACGCGGCGCTAGCCTCCGACCCCATCTGCTCCGACCTCATCCAGGAGAGGCCTCCGCCGCCGAGAGGAGGAGGAGGAGGAGGAGGAGGAGGAGGAGGAGGAGGAGGAGGAGGAGGAGGAGGAGGAGGAGGAGGAGGAGGAGGAGGAGGAGGAGGAGGAGGAGGAGGAGGAGGAGGAGGAGAAGGAGAAGGAGAAGGAGGAGGGTTTTCGGTTCTCGAGAGGGCGCCGCGGCCGTCCTTCACCAGGCCTGCGCCCGCCAGGTCTAGGCCCGAGGTCGTGCTCACGAAGCCACGCTCTGCGAGAGGGGGTTCTGCCCATCCCCGATCTCGGAGGCTGCCAGAAGGGTTCGTGGGACAGGGCTGGGTTCGCTGGACTCGAGGCCCCTCGAGCCCGGCCTGGGGCACTCCAGCACCACCCGAGGCGCCCTGGCAGCCGTCGAAATCGCCCTCCTTGAGCCAGACCTTCTCGCCGTCCTCCATCCATCCTCCTCTCCCTCCCCGTGGTCCGCCTCTGGAGGCAAACAAAAACACACACACAGACACAATGGATCGTCGATCCCCAGGAACATCTAGGGAAAACGTCGGAAGTGGGGGGGAAGACGGACACCCGAGAACATGTGAGACAAACTATGGGGGATCCAGTTGTTTGTGTCTATTGATTTGTGTGTGTCCCAGGGCCCCTCCCGCCTCGACTTCCCCCGTCCTGCCCGCCGCTGCTTGAAAGGTTGATAGACCTCCTACCCTGACACGTCGATCCGTGAATTGGCCGTTCTCGCTTCGCGAGAGGGCGTCACGGCCGTCATTTCTGCGTGTCCAGGTCCGTCGGTTTCGGTCCCAGGCCGTTTTCACTCAGGGGAGGTCTACTGAAGGGAGGCTTGTCCACCGCCGAGGCGGAGTGTTTTTTTTACATTTCGGCCCCCAGGGGCTCTCGCCGGGCCTCGGGAGCGTCAAACAGCGACTCAGGACGAAAAACAGGTCTTGGGGGAATGGGGACGAGGAGGACGTACGCTCAAGTCGGGCGTGCCCCTCCAGAGGAGCAGTATTCACACTCAGG